GGCTCTCTGGGTGGAAGGTGCGAACGCCTGCGCTGAGCTGCGGCCGCGTAGCCGCTGCCCGGTGGGGTTCCCTCCGCAGGGAGGCGTGTGCCGGGCTCCAGTGTGAGCAGAGTGAATCCAGACTTGAGCAGCAGCAGGTTGTTATGGCATAATGCATCCTGTTTTGATTTTGGAGAGGCTACAGAATCAAGTGCTCATGTAAGTAGGGCTATGTGCACCCTAATTATAACCCCAAAACCTTAATTAAATAAGGTTATACCTGGTTACAGGGTTACATTGGGGGAGGTAAGAAAGCTCCTTGTTTAACTGCAGATCCTGGCTTTTCTGGTTCCCCTAAATGGTTGATTTTCTTCAGGGGTTCTGAAGTACTGTCAGACTCGTAACTTTTTTTTTTTAACCAGTTCAGGAAGTAGATGCTGTGCTATAACCAATGTAGCTGTCACAATTGCCTGAACAAATACAGCTAGGGAACGCTTAATAGCGGTTGGGGATAGTGTACTGTATCAGCAGCCATCACAGTGTGCAAGCAGTGGAAATGTATTATGTAAATACGTTATCACAGATCAATTTAAGTTTTCTAAACTGAAACTTCAAACTGACAGCTAGGTGTCTGTCGGGCGCTGTGGTATGGCTTTGACTATACCTGGTTGAAGTCTTAATTTTGATGTCTGGATGACATTGGCAGAAGCACTTAACATGTACAGTTGTTAAATGGCTTATAAATACATAGAGCACCTGCCCACTTCTCTTTGGGAGCAGGGAATGATTTACAAAGACAAGCCGTGAGCAAATATCCAGATATTACAGTATTCTGAACAAGTCACAGCTTTTCAACGTTGAAATGAAACAATGCAAGTATCTGCTTTTCAGACTTCCTACTGATCTGATCTGATGCTACACCAAGGATGTTGTATTGGTCTGTGCCACTTGCACGGGAATTGTACAGCTCAGTTCTTGGAGAAGACTTGATAGACTTTCATTCATGTAAAATAATTATCTGAAAGCTGTTCTAGTTAAGCTTCTGTTAACTGGAAAGCTTGGCATGGGAGAGGGGGGGAAAAAGTGCTTGGACTAAATTTCTGGGCTTGGGTACCTTCCTGTATTTTCTGAGTGGCTCTTGCAAATCATTTTATTAGAGGTAAAACTAGATTTTGAAGTATGTCACAAGAATTAAAACATTTGTCAGGCTGAGTGGTGTGTTTCAGTGGCATGCAGGGCTTCCTGGAAGAAGGGTGAAAAGGGCACGGTCCTGGAATAAGTTTACGTAGGTTTGAAGGTGGTCTCTGCCATTGCCCTTGCTTTTTAGCAGAGTTCTGTCCAGCTATGCTCTTAGGCAGTTTTTTAATAAGGGAATGCAGAAAGCTGCGTTTGTCAGCTTCTGAGCGTCAGCGGCCTAAAAGAATCTACTCAGGTTAAGTCTTAGCAGTATTAAAAGTTTTCCTACTCATAAACTTTCTAAAACTAGCTTATGCTAAAACTATTGTTAAGCTTGGTTATCTTCTCATGGCTTGTTAAAGCATCTGTAGCTTTTCAAAGCACATGTTGCCATCGAGTAACTTCAGAGGTGCTGGGGGAGAGGGCAGGACTTTGACTTGGGCATTTCTTGTTACGTGTTCCTGCCGTAGGATGAATTAATCCCTACGTTACTTTACGGATGTGCTTGAATTTTTCAGACATTTTTTCTGTTTTCCTAATGTATCTTTCCAGCCATATAGTTTCTACTGGATCAAAAGAAGCATCCTGTGAAATAGCAATGGAACTTCTTGTTACTGGACTGTTGTTTCATTTTTAATGCCTTGCTGAACTTTGTTAACAGCTGAAGGAAAGTGTTGAGCCTCACTGTTTAACAGAAATCATGCCTGTAGTAAAGCAAAATGGGTGCAGGGCTTTTTAAAGCCAACCTTGCTGTGAACTGTAGATATAGGTGTGTGATGCAGCAATTTTCAATGACCAAACTACTTTGTCTCGAATAAAGATTATATTCTTAATTTAAAAAATTTATAAACAAATAAAGAAACAAGTTTAATTGTAATAATGGAAGAAGTGAGGCCTGGCATGAATAAAATAAATTAACTGTTCTTTAGGTGTGAGATCAAAGGAAAGGATTTATGCTCCAAGGTGGAGAGACACGGCAAGAGGATTTGTGTTATCGGGGCAGAGGGTCAGTGCAGAGGGGACCAGGGGATCTGTGGGAGGTTTGGGCAGGGATGATGATGGTAGTGCAGTGTTGGTGGCAGCAGCGGGAAATCTGCGGCACTAAGCCGCGATACTGGGGTGGGAGGGGATGAGCCTCTGTGCCCAGTGTCCTCCCAACTGTCTGGGTGATGGGCAGGAGGGAAGGTGATGGTGTCCAGCAAGGGAGACTGGTGTGCAACACGGGAGAGAGGGTGAAGTGGCACACGGGGAGAGTGGTGAAAAAGATGAAAGAATAAATAAGCACTCCGGGCTGAAAAATAAAAAAGTGTTCCTGGAGAGACCTGATGTGACCTAGTTCAAAGCACAAAATAATTCTCAATGTGTGCTCCAGAAGGTTGGAGTCTTCCTAGGATGTTGTTAAGGGGGCTGTTTTTTAGTCATTGGATGTAAATGTGATTGATAAAGTGCAAATTTTGTAGGTGTTATCATAGGGCCTTTTAGGTATGGAACATTTTCTTTCCTTCCCTTCATGGTCAGTCAACACCTCTTCCTCTTCTCCGGGGTAGCAGTCATGGTTTTTCTTGTAGTAAAACCTGGTTTTGTACTGTGACTGAAAAGCAGTGAAAATCCCAAGAACAACTGCTGCATCAACAGGAATTCAGATATAAAGTCTCTACTGGTGATTATAATCTCCTTGTCCAGACAGACCGTAGCTTTCCTCTGTTTTAGTGTACGCCATCTGTTTGCATTAGGATTTAACTGTTTCTGTTGCGTTTGCTGCTTTTTTTCCCCCCAAGAATGAACTGAGAGGTGGCTGTTGCTAAACAGCAGATGTATCTGTGTCAGTTACACCTTTTAACCTATCGTATTAGCTTTTTCTTCTTTTAATGCAGGTGTTATTTATAGCTCTCACACAATGGTTTGAATCAGTTTTGCAACATAAACAGCTAAATAGTCAATTTTAGTACTTCAGCTATATCTAGAAATGAGGCAAGATTATCCATCTGTAACATTCCTCTGCCTTTTAGTCTCCCCTGTCTGAAAATGACATTTTAAATGTGTTTGTTTAGACGTGAACCACTGGCTCTTATCAACCTCAAAAAGAAAAATGAAGAAACTGGGGAAGAAGAACTTGCCAAACGCTTAGATCACTGCAAAGCAAAAGCCACCAGGCACATATTCCTTATCCGTCATTCTCAATACAACTTGGATGGCCGGGCGGATAAAGACAGAACTCTGACCCCACTTGGTATGTATTACTAGAAGCATCGTACTTTGCATTTTGTGAACATTATTTTTCACGTGCTGCTGTTCTAATGAGTGCAGGCCGGTTACTCAGCTCTGTTCTGGGTCTCACTGCCAAACCTTAATCTACTTTCTGGATCTTTTGTGGCAGAAAGATGTCGTGAATAAGTTTGTTTTTTCCATTTTGGATCTTCTAAATCCAAGCATTAGAACGCACTTTACAGAATTCTAAACACACTCTGTTGTAAAGAAACTTCACAAAGGAAATTTTCAGGTATCTTAAGGTTGCTTGAGCAAATTTTCATGCTAGCTGACATAATTCCCCAGGACTGAGGCTTTTAAACTTAGCTCCGTGACTAACTTTGGGATAGATTTCTCTTAAAGGGTGGCTTGTGTTTCTGTTAGTTAATTTGCTGATTTATAAAAAATAAAATTGCCCGATTTTCAGTTGGAGTGTTTATAATTAAATACATTTCACTTTTGCTGCTAAGCACTGTTTCTGGGAATACTGCTACTCAGTTACATGAAATGCCGATAACCTCTGTCTGTGTTAATCTTAATTCACTGATCCTGTGATGAGGTCTCAAGTGTTAATTAGTATGATTTTTTTAATAGTGGACACTTTCTTGATCATATGTATGCCTGCACTGTTTTGAGGGAGGAAGAATTATTATTGTGCTGTGCTGCTTGATGTTTTGGAAGTCTGGTGCCAATCTTAGTCCTGTCTCATCTTTAGCCTTGGATAAATTACTTAAACTGTTTGTTGTCTGTTCACCTACCTACCTACCTGAAAGAGGGCACAAAGCGTTCCCTAGGCTATCCCAGCGCTGTGGTTCTTAACTGCTCCACGCTGATGTTGCCTTCATGAAGCATGCGCTGTCCGGTCCGAGGGGATCTGTCTGACACTGCCTCCTCTTCCCTGCTCCCCGAGCACAGAGATGGCAGAGGGCTTGGGGCAGCCCCATCTTTTATCGGAAGTGGCTCCCATGGGATGGGGCTAGCAGGGATATTGAGTACTTCAGTGAGAGTCTCTGAGTAAGTTTTGAGATATATATATTTAATTAAAAAAATGCCCCACAACTAATTTTTCCTACCGATGGAAATACGACTTGAATTTGTCCAGGCAATAAGCTTGATCTGAAAAGTGGTGACTCTGGTAAAAATGTTCTCCAGTTACTTTTTGAAAGGAAAAGAAAAATGCCATTGATGGACAACTTTTATGTCTGCTGGACAACTTTTTTGGTAGTTTGTATGAGGCACTTACATGATTCTCCCCAATTTATATAATGAATACGATTTTTAAGGTCGAGAGCAGGCTGAACTGACTGGACAGAGGCTGGCAAGCTTGGGATTAAAATTTGATCAGATAATCCACTCCTCTATGACTAGAGCAACTGAAACCACTGAAATTATAAGCAAGCATCTCCCAGGTAAGTGACTTTTCTTAGTTTTTCATTGTCTGCTAATCCTTAAAACTGCTTCCAATAGAGTTCTAAGCTTGTCCTTAAGGTTGACATGTTGCTTAGCCAACTTCCAGCTCTGTGTGAATATGTCTGTAACGAAACCAACAACCCTAATTCTGCTTGTTTCATCTTTAAAAATACAAGATGGATCTGCCCCTCGGAGTGACCAGCTGCTACCTGTATCTACTGCTGGTTGCTCTTAGGCGTTTTTGAGAGCAAAGACTGTCGCGGGTCATCAGGGTTGGCTCAGTCTTGGGGAGCAGTGGCGCAGGAGAAAAGAGGGTCTGAAACTCCAGTTCTTGTCGTGGTGCTTGCTGGGTTAGTTAAGGGGCCCTGCCTGTGTGCTGTGCTGCCCTGTGGGCAGGGGAGGACGTGGCACACTCACAAAGGTGTGGGGATTTTTTAATGTGGGTGCTTTACTTATTGAGTTCTTGGGTGGTTGTGGGTGTTTTGGTGGTTTTGTTTTGGTTCTTTTATCATTTATAGGTTTTTTTTTTTCTCCTGTTGTTCAGACATATCATAATCTAAACTAAAGGTACCTGTCTAGACATAATTCTGTCTGGTATTTTAGCAGGTATTCAGGTATGAGTAGCTGAATATCAGTTCTCTTAACTGTTCTGTTTGTTTTCTTAAATGTGCTGCTTCAAAAAAAACCAAAAAACAATGCAAAAGAACAAAACAAAAAGACCCAAACAACCCCAAAACAAACAAATAAAACCCCACGTAAACCATCTTTCCTTCCTCAGAGTAAGAGATTCAAATGTTAATGTAAGTCTTAAGTATCAAGAGTGTACCGTAAACATTAATTAGCAGTAAGCATTAACTGACACAGCTTTAGATTAACAACCTTGCAAGTGCCTTTCTGCAGAGTGCAGCCGGCTGGGACGACTCGCCTTGCTGTGCCAAGCTGGGCTGGCTGTTCTCAGCTGGAGTAAGCTTTGTCTCGCTGATGACAGAGCAGTTGTGTTGGAGAGATTCACACTGCTTGATACGAACTGTGGAGACTAAAATGGTCTTTAGGATGGAGAGGAAGACTTCCTTGAAGAAAGAATATGAAAAATGTGTTGATTGTAGAGTTGTGGGCCTCTTTGCAGTGGCATGGGAAGTAATAACTCCTTTCTGAATGTGTATTTAATATTTCAGGAGTCAAAAAAATTAGTACTGATCTACTGAGAGAGGGAGCACCTATAGAACCAGACCCGCCAGTCTCTCACTGGAAACCAGAAGCTGTGGTAACTTTTTACTTAAAATTTTTTTTTCATTGTTACGTTTAGCTTTTTTTAATATACTTTATATTGACTGTAGTGATAACTTGCAGTGTTGAAGCTGATGCTTTTCATTACAGACCTTAGATAATGGCATACCTTTCTCCCCCCAATAAGTGTACAGAACAGCTAAAATAACTTCCAGTCCTTAAGTATCAGTTCAGCCTCAAGTGTGCATCCCTGTAAAGAGAACTCTTGAGAAGATGGCGCCCATCTGCACATGGCGCGTGCTGCTCTGAGCTGTGTTTAATTCTGAACTCTGTGCCATTAGCAGTATTATGAAGATGGAGCTCGAATTGAGGCTGCTTTTCGAAACTTCATTCATAGAGCTGATGCAAAGCAGGAAGAAGACAGCTACGAGATCTTTGTCTGCCACGCCAACGTGATCCGCTACATTGTGTGCAGGTACGTGTTGGACTGCATGCTCATCTGCGCCCTTGCAAAGGTCATGGTTTTACTGGAGGTGGTGTTGGTGTATGGCACCGCTGAGCCAGGAGATGTGTTGATTTGGCTTGCTTGAAGCAGTTGGGAGATCGGTGCTTGCATTGTGAGCAGCTGCTTCTGCAACATCCTCACAGGATTAATGTGCAGATACAGGACACATTTGAAAATTAGAACACTTTCATTCTAATTCTGAAGTGAAACTGGCTAAATTGGTGAGCCTCAACTTTTTTGTACATCCGAACGGTCTCTTTAGTACCGTATGCCGCTTCTTCCCGTAAACATGAGGACAGTGCCTGTGTGGACTGTTGGAAAAGGCAAGCAGAGCATCTGACTGGATGAATCTTTTTGAGGTGACGTGAATTTGATCTTGCATAATGAAAGACTGATTTACTTTGGGAATTCTTTAGTAATAGAAATTTTTCTATTATGTTCATGTTACATTAGTGTGTTTTTGCAGTAACATCCAGTATTGGATTAGAGCGGAGAGTGGATCTTTCTGCTAACATAAAGGTTGTTCGTGAAGGAGAAAACAGTTCTGGGTCTTTGCCTGTCTCGGTACCCAGTCAGCTGAGTCTGTTTTATTCCTCTTCCCTATCAACAAAGCACTGTCTGTAAGGTAATTTGTCTTGAGCAGGGCAGATGTGATTAAACTTTAATCTGATCAATACCTACAACACTTTCAGTTAGCTTTATTTAGCTGAGCTAGTTAAATGCTAGCCTGTCTGCTCTGTGGACTGCTTTAGAGCTCTTCAAAATTGCTATACTTAAAAATATTGATCAGGTAAACAGAATATTCTTTCCTGTGCCAAAAAAAGATTGTCTTGCTGCTAGGCTTGCTAGGCTTTTGCTGAAATACTGGTATACTTTTCCTCTGTGCTCTTTCTTTCCTCTTCTGGGCCTTCTGTTCCAGGCTATCTGATATCACAGTTGAACACAATCCATAGAGCGTTCCCTTTGAGTCTAACTTGACTGTAGTTATTTAATTTCTTAGCCATTCTAGAAGACCATTGTAAGAGCCAAAACCAAGTTAGTCCTCAGTATCTGAGGCAAATGATGTTTGAGACAACATGGTATTTTTTCCAGCTGTTTACTACAGTTGATTGAACTTCTGAGGCTGTTCAGTTAGGGATCTTAGAATAGCTGGATGCTGTGATACTGTATTTCCACAAGAAGCACAAGGTGCTTTTTCTTGCCACTTCTGGGGAATAAGACAGCTGGTGGGAAGTAGTTCTGGTGAATTTCTTCCATAGGCACATGCGGGCATCTAGAATGAATCCTGTCTCACTGCCTCTTCTCTGCTGTAGTTAGGTACCTCCCCATGCTGATAAGGCTACAATACTGGGTAGGTGTGCCGTCTGCCACTTAGGCCTTCGGTCTGCGGAGGAGGCCCCTTGGGGTGCACTTAGGCCTTCGGTCTGCGGAGGAGGCCCCTTGGGGTGGTGAGCCACCTTCTCTACCTGTCCTGAAATGCCCAGGGTTTTGTGGTGCTGCAGTTGGCTCAGTGATCAGCTTGAACCTGGGCAGTGATCAGCCTGAACCTATGCTGTCTGTGGTCCTGGTTGTGACAAGGTTGCTCAGAGCGCTCCCGGCAACCTGACTACATTAGAGCTGCTACCTTCTGGCGCTCTGAATTAATCCTGTCTGCAATAATCATACCCATCTGCTGGAGTCTGCTTGTGCAAGTGCATCGTTGGCACTGGTCCAGTTACCAATGCTGCATTTTCATCTCGTTTGCACAAGAAAAACATTTTTTTCCAAGGCTGCTTGTAGGAGCATTTGCATGCCAGCTGCAGAATGACCAACCAATTTCTCTTTTTTTTGCCTTATCTGGAACAGAGGGTGATGCTGTAAGCAGCATATTAGCATGACTGTTTATGTAAATATATATTTTTTTTTTTTTTTTTTTGAACAGAGCTTTGCAGTTTCCCCCAGAAGGCTGGCTGCGAATGTCTCTTAACAATGGCAGTATAACTCACTTGGTGATACGTCCGAATGGAAGAGTGGCACTTCGAACACTGGGTGACACAGGTTTCATGCCTCCGGATAAAATCACGCGCACCTGAGTGAGCAAAACTGATGGCTGGCCCGGAGCTGCCTCTAGTCTCTTTGCACTAGTACATTCAGCTACAGTACCACTAGATTTTTTTTTTTTAAATCTGTTCTGTTGGGGTGTGACGCTGTCTTAAAAATGTCCTTTAGCCCCTTGCCTCCATCATACATATTCATATCTGCCTTTCAGTTCGGAAAAGAAGCTCTCCAGTCCTCAGGTATTCCCCAAAACTCAAAGCTGAGCTGTGGAATACAGAGATTGAATGTCTGTGTGCTCAGCAGTTGCAAGAGCACTGACTTCCCCCTGCCCGCCTCCGTGATTTTTCAATAACCAAAGCTTGCTCCCATGGATATTTTTCTTGTGCAGGGAAGCAGCTGGTGTGGGAACTGGAAGGAACTTGTATCACACTGCAGCCACAACTGAAGACAAGCCAGCTTCTTTCAGCTCCTGCAGAAGTGATAAACAGGGTATTCGGCTGTTCAATGGACACAGGGATAAGGCCTCAGTTTTTGTAAGCTGGTGAGGAGGTGTGCTTATGCTGTGTCATTGTTCCCTTCTGCCCCTGAAAAGCTCACGTAAACTGTGCCTGGAGGTTGTAAGCATAAAGCCAAGATGGTAAAAACCCATTTGCCTCAGAACTGTGGTGCTAGAATTAACTGCTGCTTATATGACGTGGTCCTCCATCCTCACTTTTAAGCTATTCTGAACAATGTTTTTCAGTCTCATAAAGCCTTTAACTAAAACTTGTCTGTAGAATGACGTAGGGACAGTAGTAGCAGTAAAATGGAAGGAAAGGAGCACTCTTCTGAAAGTGCATCCTGTTACTGATGCTGACATTTTTGAGTGCTTTGTCCCATTGATTTCTATTCATTGATGCCGTGCTTTCAGAGCAGAGAACTAACACCCCCAAGTTCAAGGCAGCGATACTTCAGGTCAGAGGTTCTGCAGCATTGAAGCAGACTGTTGTCTGAATGGTGGAAAACTCTCTGTGAGATGGCTTTTCTAAGCCAAGTGTGCAGTAGAGCCGTCAGGCCAAATGCTGTACGTGGCTCCTTTGCACAGCGCCTACACAGCTGGATTGTTTTGGGAAGAATGCAGGTGACTGACAGGTTTCATTTTTGAGGGGAGGGCTCAGAAGCATTTTGTCTTGAGGCTGCTTGCTGGGCACCTGAACCAGTGTAGTGATGTAGTTCATGTAATACCTGGCATGCTGAAAAATTTACCATATGCATTGTCTGCCTTGGGGATAGAGCGCATACTGTAGGACAGCAAACAGCACTAACTTGGGCGAGGGCTTCGCTTACCACGAGGAACGTGGGTGAGACCTGAACGCCCTCCTGTCAGAGCTGTGTGAAGCATAACCATGGCACACAACCTAGTGAGACAAGGTTAATGGCTTGTTTGGTACAGGAGTGCTACATTGGGATGAACCCAAGGAAACTGGGGTTAGGACAGAACAAAATATCATTGTTGTGTAGTGCAAGGTGTGGGGGCAAGAGGAAACCATCACGACGTATCTCTCATTGATGCAATGAGAATAATTTATCAGTTTTTTTGTCTATTAGCTTTTTAAAAGTTTTGAATAAAATAACTGGTCTGTCTTTCTTTCTTGTGTCTTCTGTTGAGTTGTTGTATGACCCTCGGCTGTAGAACATACAGCTGAAGTGCTGCGCAGGGATGTGCGTTTCTGCCAGCGGAGCAGCCCTTGTATCATCCCACACTGCCTGGGGCAACAACTCATTTACCAGCTTTGTCCTTTTAACTCCCGCTATCTGCAGTGCCCACTTGAGAGCGTTTCTAGCTCAGACTTAATCATCCTCCTCCCCAAAAATGTGTGCAGGCACTGCTGTATATGCAAGGGGACAGCTGTGCTCTAGCCCCAGCATCTTGGTGGTTTGGGAGTGACAGGGCTGGGGCACTTCCCACTGCATAGAACAGGCGAGATGAATAATCCTGTGCATTTTTATTTGTGTGTGTGTGTATACGCACAAGATGCATAGAGCTGTATTAGTAAGGCCTGCACACGTCAGTGCTCTGCCATGTCATGGTGCTTACCACCATGTCCCATAAACTAACTAGCATGATACTTTAACTACTCATTTTTTAATAGAAAATGGGGTAACTCTGTATTTTTCACATGACACTTGGCTAATTAGCAATATCCATCTGATTTAAAGTGTCTCCACAGGCTCAATGGGGAAGAGCTTTCTTCACAATCATGAACGATCAAATCACTACATAAGTTGCTACTTTTTTTTAATAGCTCAAGTAAATACAGTGTTAGAAAAATGACCTTTTAAGATGCAGTACAGCTGGACTAATGCACATTATAGAACACAGTTAAAAAAAATACTCTCTTGACTGAACCAAACCAAAATTACAAAGTGGAAGGCAAGGGTTTGGTGGTGGTAGTGGGTGGGGGTGGAGCGGTTGTGTGTCTCTACATGTACATACCAATAATATACATTTAAATATTTAAAAAAGAAAGCAAAGCATAACAAAGGTAAAAACGAACAAGACCTAGAGCATTAGTACCAGTCTCGTGGCTCTGTAACAAGCTCTTACCGAAAGGGCAACGTCACCACGTGACAGCTCTAGAAGGACCAGGGTGGAGAACAGCAGCTGCACCCACAGCAACTTAACCACGTGAATTTGGCTTTAACATGGTATTAGGCAATTACTCATCATCTGAGTAACTTCTCCAGAATGACAAACACATCATTTACATTAAACTTTTTTTTTTTTTAAAAAAAGAGGCAAACTAAAAAAAAAAACAAACCACTAAACCCTGTAAAGTAAAACTATAGGAATTTGGGACCTAAAAAATTTGTTTGAGACCATGGAGACTGCTGCATCAAAAAAAAAACAACAAACAGTCCCAAAACCACCTTATGACAGAGCCAGTTAATATGCTTGGGTAACAGAGCAGGTCATGTTTGTTGGCTTTTTAAAAAACACCTCTTAAAGAACGACACCCCCACCCCTCCCACCCCCCTGCAACCCCTAGCTAGTTGTCTGGAGTATCACTGGATGGCAGTCATTTGTGGAAAGTAGCTCTTTCTAAGCTCCAGCTCACTGGAAATGGGCTTAATTATAAAGAAAGAGCTAAAAATGCCTTTTTTTTAAAAAATAATTTCTAAAATAGGAATGCTCTCCCACAGTGGAGAGCTATCACACCAAATACTCAAACTTAAGAGAGACATTAAAATACGTTCCACTCAGAAAGCCCAGAAGAAAAACTGTATTTTACGTGCCTGTAGTAAGTGGATGCCACTTTTTTTAAACTTCAGAAGAACAAAAATTTAATTAAAAAAATATGTTACAAAAGGCACTATTAAGCTTGCAAAAGCATTAAGTGCAGTCGTTTTAGGTTTGTACCAAATGACGGACGTAGGGCAGGGTGCACAGTTTGCGTGCAGAACAGTCACTGCAGCGTGCGACAGCCATCAAACCTGGCGCGCTCCGTGGCGGTGAGATGACGGGCGCAAAGGGACCGACCTGCCCACAGCTCGAGGGTCTGCAGCCCCGTGCTCGCTCGGCGGCCACGGCAGTTCCACACGTCCCACTCACTGCGTCCAAACCCAGCCCTTTTTACCAGCACAGCCTTGGCAGAATGTAATTTTCTGATCAGATTTATGCGGTAACGATAGATAGGCTTTTCTTGTTTTAACTAGAAAGCCATCGACATTAGAGAACTGTTTCTGGAAGCCTTCTTTCAAGCAACATTACAACCATTAAGCTTGATACGAAAACTGTTTTGAGTTTTGGAAAGCTTTCTTCAATCTCAGCCTTGTCTGTCCAAACAAGTCATTCTTACAGAAGGCTGAAGAATAAAATTGCTGACTGCTGTAACAACCACCTCACTACCACATCAAGGCTAGAGACATAGTAAAAGCTTAGATTTCAATAAAAATATTTTCAGTCCTTATTCCTCTTTCTTGACAGCTGGGAAATAAGGACCCACCTCACGGGTCACTGGCCACCGTGCTAATACATTACAAACTAGACCGTTCAGGTGTCTTGCTGGTAAATCTGCTGAAATTATTGCTGATGTGCTTTTGTGTAATAGCTGTTAAAATCTGCTAATGTTAAAAGCTTCCATGGGAAAAAAACAGCTGATTTTTAATTATTTTTTTGTTAGATCTGCAAACTAACATATAAAAGGAATACCAGTAATATCTATAGTGCCCCTTTACTAAACACTCAGTGTATCACGGTGCTTCTAACAGCCTCAGAACAAGCAAAGACTCAAGGTTTTCTGTGTGAACACGTGCGTACATACACACATTATGTGAGTGGGTGTGTCTGTGTGTACTCAACTGTCCAGCCCAAACCGCTGCCTCTATCCACTTACGTTCTGTTTATGCGCAGGGTTTCACATTCATACTCACTCCTGGAAAGCTGTCACTGCCCAGGCTTGGTAGAAGGCTTTTCCCTTTCAGCACTCCCCCTGCGCATTTTACTTCCTGCCATCAACTTCCTCATGCAAGATCGCTGTTTCCTGATGATGCACTTCCTCCAGACTACCCAAGCAAAAGAAACGCAGTTGAGGGCTAAGGGGTTAATTACAATAATGACTATTGGTGGTAGTCAATACCACCAGTTCCAAGTAAAGGTTCAGCTCACTGCTTTACTGGCAACAAGGGTTAATTCATAGCTACTGGACAACTGCACTAACTCACTAACTTCTTGCACCTCACCAGTAATCTATCTCATGTATGGCATAAAGACACATATTCAGGTTTTTTTTTTTTTTAACATACAGTTGTCCTCAATTGAGGAAAAATAAATAGCCAAATACAAACCTCATGTCACTTTAGTAACATTGTAGTTTTTCTCCTCCACTCTAACAATGAAAATATAATTGAAGTCCCAAGAAGAGGAATCATGTTTTAGTGGGCAGGAGGCTCTGAAAAAAATCGCAGTTTTAACAGAGCGTGGTTGATGCCAGCTGGACTGTAGCGCCCAGGGCTCCCAGGGTCTGGAGAGAACGAGGTGGCATTGCTGTATTTTCCTGGACTTCCTGTTATGGGACTGTTTCTTCCCGAATTGGAACAACCTGGAGCATTTGTAAGGGCAGCAGCAATGGTCTGGGACTTGAATCTTGCCTTCAGTGCTGGACTTGGCCAACTGAAAGAAACAAAAAGCCATTTTGCATTTTGTTAAGAAAACTGCAATAAGGAGAGCAGTACTTGGACTCGGTATCACTTGTAGAACTTAGAAATAATGCACCGGCAGAGAAAAATCGTGACTGGTAAGGGACGGGTCTGAGAAGAAGCAGCGACAGCACCATATATGATATGCACACGTGCTGCCTCGTCAGCAAGGTGTCATTCGCTCCAAAACTGCCATTATGAAAAGAAACGGGTCCTCGCGAAGCACTGGGGCTGTTTTAGTCCAATGCCCCCATTGGAAAAGGGCATCAGGATCACAGCTGAGCCCACCTTGGCTACTGCCACAGCTTGCGCTGTGGCTGAGCACGATCTTCCCCTGCCATTTTAAAATGGGATCATCTTTGAAATGGATCATCTTTGTTTTTTCTACACAGTGTCAGATTTTTTCTTAATGAGAACGAGGATCTAAAATTTCTTTGGAAGCAAAGCAAAATATTTCCTTTCTTAAATTAAAACACCTTTTCTGTAAAAACCTTTCCTTTTTCTCTAAATTTTATCTTAAGCAAGGCAGAATGACCAAAGGTTGATTCCAGCATCCGTGAATCATTCCTGTTCTTTCTTTTACATGCGAGTCAGTTTCTTAAGATGAGCCACTACAGAAAACATGCTATAAGCTAGATATTTCGTAAGATTTTAAAAAATACATAAATTGAAACCAATCCCCCCAAACTAGGAAAGACAGGCATGCACACAGCTTATTCAAAGCCTTTTGCAAACAGGTTTCTTCCGACAGACCTACTGGCAATCTGTATCATTATGTCTGATTTTTGCAGTCAAAATCCTACATACCTAAACACAAAGTGATCTAGTGTGTCATTTCTTCACTTTTGGCAGAGGGAGCACTGAAAAATTAAGGAGGCTGACAGAGCAAGAATTGGCATTGTCAGATAATTACAGTAATTGTTTTTACTTATGGGACAGGAGAGTGATTATACTTCAAAATCTCATGTTAAATTTTAGCACTTCAGAAGAACACGTTGGACCTTTCAGACAGTGGAATAAGAATGAAAAAATCCAAATAATTAGCCTATTTGTTTTGAAAAATTAATCACAAAAATCAGGGGATGAGAGAGTTTGACAAGTGAAGTACTACAAGAACACTGTATCAACCACATGTACAAAAATATTTCCCTGTTTCTACTCCACTTTAAATCACAGAAAAATCGTGGTGAGTTTCATGGTTTTTTCCAAAACTACACTTGATGGCCCTACTTCAGCACAATAGTTGAAATAGAGACAAAAGAAATTTTCTTTCTTTCCCAGTGCTCAGCACTGGGCAACATGTCTCCTTCCACTTACCCTCCACACTCCTTTTAGCTCTGTCCCATCTTGTTTCAACTCGTTCCATAACACTTTTCCTACTCCAATCTCTGCTATCTTTACATAGTTGCACTTCCCAGCTGCTGGTTCCCGACTCCTACTCGGAATTCTGTAGCCAGTAAAGCCAGTCCATCACATTTTTTAAATTCTCACAAGCTCTGACAGAGCTTTAAAGTGTCTGTCTTTAAAGCATGTGTAGAAAAATTAATGTCTAATATCTACAGTGAGAACTTCTTAGTGAAAAGAGTTCTCATAAGAAGTGGAATGTCATGCATTTAAGAAAGCTAGAAGCAGCAAGGAAAAAATAGAAGTCAGCACAGGTCATTTGATGGCTTTCTGTTCCTGTGGCCTTTCCGATCTGTTGTGTGGCACTGGGTCATCTGTTTCTTTTCTGAGAACTTTATCACAGCTATATGTAAGTTGTAGGCTATCAAAGCAAGGGACTCTTCAGTGTTCTGACCAATGTCTGTCACAACGGAAATAAATCTTCATGTTAATACAATTACCAGAAGACGCCACTTGTATGAAAACTCTTGCTTTGGGTCCCCAAAAGCAACAGCGTTCAAATAAATGTGTAAACAGCGTAACACGTATTCAGGCATCCCAACAAACGCAGTCTGCTTCCATTACTTGTGTAGCAAAACAGGACACTGTCTCTAAAAACTGAACTCATACCATCATTCCCTCTAACAATTCCTTTGGACTGGGGTAATAGAGGGTAAAAATAAAAATAATAGTAAAAAGAGGCCTGAAGATAGTAAACTCACTTCAGCATCACTCTGCACAACCTACATACCTCAAAGCAACACAACATTCTTGCACTGCATCTACAACAGGGATGAACCACCAACTGACATCACAGCTACCATTAAGAGCAATGAAGGCTCCAAGTACTAAGTAATAAACCAGCAAACTGAGGCATCTGCCAACTGGAAAACACTTACGGTCTCGAGACCTTCATTTTCGGTCTGATTTGTCTGTACAGATATGCTGAAGTTATCTGGAACTGCACAGTAACGGAAGGAATTTGACTGCAGCACCAGTAAACTTTCCCTATTACCAGACACCAGCCAAAAAGGCTTGGTGATTCATTTCAGAAACACACTAATAGTTAATGCAGTTGAATATTTAAAATAAGGTTTTTGTGAGCAGCAAGGCCTGAAATTCAAGCTGTTTTGCAGCTGACCCGCTAAAAATTTTATTTCAGCTGATTTGATTGAATTTGTAGAAATACCTTTGCCTGTCAGATGAAGAGTATGACTGCACTGCATGTTTCCATTTGTAAATAATCGGGTATTTCTGCGGATCAATCTCTACTGCTTCTATAGCCGCTAAGACATCACTATCCAGCTTCGAGGGCTGCTCCCTAAAATACAAACAGAACTAGATGAAAAGAGAACTATGTTTTTGTTCAGTCAATAAAACATCACAATTCCAAAACATTTATTTTTGATATAAACAAACTGCCCATGCTCCTCTATAAACATAGTTCCCCTATGAACTTTCTCCAGCAGGCCCACACATAAATGACTGTCCATTAATACACAGTAGTCTCATAAAATAAAAAGTGTCGAAAATTTAATCTGAGGACATCCCAAGAGTGTAATAAAGACTTTGTTAATCTAAGTCAGGCTCATCATGAAGTCACACGCCTGTCAGATGAACGGACTTTTGTTCTTCCTGCTGTTTCAGATACAGTATTCAGGTCGTTAGTTGAAAGAGAGCTGTATGGCTACTGTACAGCAGTGAAGCACTTCAGGATAATCACTCAAGGCTGGCTGCAGCTAGTGTTGTTTAGTTACACCATCTCCACCTTGCTGTCAGGGACATTGCAAATAGCATCTTGTTTTGCATACATACACCAAGGGACAAATAAGTGTTAAAAAAGACAATTCTTACCCAAGCAGGAATAACTTCTTAGAATTGTAATTTGTGGGTGAAGCCTTCCAAAGAAACTTCTGGGAAGAGAGTTCTTGACGTAGTTGTGCCTCGTTAGTCTGAATTCCAGATTCCAAACACAGTCTCTCCTTTTCGGACGGTATTTTGTGCTCTGTCCTTAGCTTGGTCTCGCCAGATGTACCTGTGACACTTGACTCAGAAGAACTTGCCAGTGACACCGCATAGCTGGGTAGTCTCACCTGACTCGTTCCTTCAGCCTGAATGCTCTCATTCTCATTTTTGTCAGTGATTTTATTTGATGGTCCTGCAACCTCTTGTTCTTGGAACGACAGGCTTTCAAATTCTGACATTAAATTGGAAATGGGCGATACAAGGCATTCTTCTCCATCATGCAAATGCTTTCTGTCACTACTTATCCTTTCACTGGACACAGGATTACAAAATCCGTTTTTGCTGGAAGAAGCCGCCTTTTCGTAGTGCCTGGGGTGAGCCGATGTCTCGATAAAGTTTACTGCACGCTCCATTGACAAGATGTCACACTCAGCGTCTCCAATAGCATCAATGCTAGGTTCTTTGGACACAATCGGTTGGCTGATATTCCGTGCTGCATTTTGTCTGTTTTTGATTTCTTCTAAGCTCATGTCATCATCATCCTCATCCAAAAATGCTCCAACAGAAATAGAATTGCTGCACTTTTTACTCTTGCCTGTAAACAATTTTAATAAGAGCAACACATAAAAACATTTTCAACAGAACGCCAATACAATAAACTAGGAACAAATACAAAATCTTTATGCCTTATTCTATTTATTGAAGCCCTCTCTGATTTTATTTATGCAACAGCACAAACTAACCTAACTAAAGCTACAAATACAGCCGTAACGTTGTCACTTTGTATCTTTTTTGCAGATAACCTTTTATATCCTCATCATTTGAGAACTCTATTTCCTACACTCCTCATTCAATCATTAACCAGCAACAAAGGATGAAGTCAGGATAAAGCAGAATAGGGTAGGAAGATGTTACTAATATAGAACAGCTTAAGTTTTCATCTCTTACAAAGCACAAAGGCTTATGACTAGTCCAATGATTATCCTTCAGGGTCCTGTCAGCCCAGGTTTATCCCAGTACCAGAGCCCCTCCGGATCTATGATCACACAGGAGAAGAGGAGGAAAGGGCACAAAGATTTAGGACTAGTGTGTGCCTTCCATAAACACATGGCAAGCAGAGGTCTAAGAAGGTATAAAAGCTTTCCTGGGTTTTGTTCAGTGTGTGTCTCACCCTCAACTGTAAAGTATTATTCTGCTATTTTAAAGAGTTACTTATTCTGTATTTGTGGATTACAAAATACTGCACTTTAAGACAAATTCACAAATGCTCTGAGTGAAAACACACTGAAGATAGTGGTTTTCTTATGGGAATTTCATTTTGGGGCTACAATCAAATAAAGTACTTCATATGAAAGATAAAGAACATCTAATGAGGTCTGTTCCAATTCTCCTACATTCACAGTGCTGGTAGCTACTTTTCCAATACTATAATCAGACTGTTTGGATAACAGATTAAAAACGGCAACCACAACAGGTGAACACTACCTCCCCTGGGCACCAAGCTTTTTCTCTCCCTCTTCTCCCTAGGTACAACCTGTTATTTGTAGCATTTGCTGTTTTCTTACCAGAAGGATGTGGAGTTTTATATCTATTGCAGGTTTCATTTTCCCCTGTTTCTTGCTGAGCCTTTTCGCTCATTTCCCGATGACTCAGGTACTCTTCTAATTTTCGCAGCCCCTCCTGGGAAGACAGATCAACAAAACAGCCCAGAAATTCCCAGTATTCAACCCACGGGAACCCCAGTTCATGAGCTAACTCCCTGCAATAAATAAAATAAAACGAATCATTTGTGAAGACATAAGTATTAGTTTCACAGTAATTTTTCTGAACACATTTTATCAGCTATTAATAGGAGTATAAACGTGCAACTAGGCAACACAATTCCGCTACAATCAACAGTCTGCAAAAGCGATACACACATCTTAGCAAACATAGTATCACCTATTTTTTTCTAGAATATTTTTCAAATTTAATCTACTACTCTTACAGTTAGCACCATAAATATTGCTATTCTATCATCAGATAGAGATGAATCCCCACTGACGCAGGCATAATTCGAATGATACTCCATTCAATAGCTTTTTCTATTTTGGGAATGGGAGAAGGGAGGAGGAAGTGAGGGGTTATTTCAACGAAAGAAATCTAATCAGCTATTAACAAAATATGTTTTTTCCATATATTGCTGATACAATCTGTTTTAACAGCAAGGACACATACTACAACACACAGCTTTTATAAAGCAGAACATTTGTACTAGGATCTTTTCATTCTGCTATCTTTTTAACAATCCCTCCATTTTACAGAAAAAGTAGGCTAGGCATAATTTTAGATCTTCTGACGAATTAGGCAAGCAAATGTTTGAGAAAAGAATTCTACACATACCATTAATAATAGGCAAAACATCTTTATTTCCAAAGCTAAGAAAGCTAGGTCTCACATTTTTAGCCATTTTGTTTACACAAAAATACAGTAAAAATCCAACTACAATATACTTCATAAAATATTTCTGCCAGTAACTTTTGCCCTAAGATATTGTTCAGTAAGTAATAACTGTACTCCCAGCACAAGTCTTTTGCTTTTAGTTGCTCTGTCTATTGCTAATTTTTTATACTGATACTCTTCCAGATACCTTCCAACTCTTTCAAGACCTCTCTCCAGATCGGATTTCCTGACATTGTGAAAGAAGCCAGCTCGCTCTCGAGGCGGAGTCTTCCAAAGCCTGCGGAATTCTTCAGCCTTTAAAAAACAGAAATAATTTTACAAACCTACCCCCGACCACATGAAGCTAACTCAGTGCTGGCTAAACGTCTACCCATAGGTCTAGAAGACATTTAGTTGTTTGCTGTCTACATGTAAACAACTCAAGTTCATCCACAAGTATTGCTCAACTCTAGCTATGAAGAATCTCATACTGGATCTAAAGTTACTCCTCCCAGTATTACTGGTTACTTTGATCTCATAACTGCTTATTAAAAGTGTAAGGACCACAATGTGCAACCATCTTGCAATAAACAGATACCCAGTCTGCCTGGTTTTAATTTGTGTGTAACAGGAAACAGAAGTATGTCTTATAATTTTGCCATGTCATTTTAGTTTTATTTAACTACAAATGCTTTCTTGGTCACTGGTTTCTATGACGCAAAGGTGGTATTTTTAGATGTACATATTTAATTCCACAGACTTGCCACAATTATTAGAATATATTCTCGCTGTATATTTTGAAGTTTGAATGTGAACTCCTAAAAGGAATAAACTAATGGATTTTTGTAAACTCCCAAACTTTATGCCTCCATATGACAAAAGTCAGAAGCAACAACTACAAATTGCCTTCAGACATCAAAAGTATCTGTCAATAACCAAATTAGTGCATCGTTTACACCCTAGGTAAAATTTTTCAGAGTATAAAATATATTTACATTTCTGTCAGGTGAACAAAAAATTGACCAATGAGCACATTTAGCAGAAAAAACATCGATCATTTTGGTATAACTCAGTCCTGAAGAATTCAAGCATCAGATGACAGAAAGTCCTCAGTTGTATTTATTCACCATTTCTAAAGTTGTCATACTTCCAGCATGTTCACAGTAAACAAGCGAGTCAAACAAATGCCTAGAAGTTTATAATATATTTAACTGGTATCTAAGTTTTCCCCCTGAAAACTAAAGATTTTGCTTTTCTACTATACAGTCAATACTTTTCCAAAACTATCCCAACACCTACTACTTGGTCATCAGGTCTTCCATTTAGAAAAATGTATTAATGTTAATTGAACAAAGAGAGGAGATAAACTGCTTCTAACATCCAGTGTCAATTTCTAGAAATGAGATAAAGATACAGTTAAGATGTTTTTAAACCGATTCATAGCCACATTGAAAGGCTTTGTTTCAGATTAGAAAGTTAAGAGCAATTATCTGTAAGACAATGAAAGGTTTGTCAGAGTGCTCTTTGAATAGATTCCAATTAAACAACGAACAAATTTCTCTTGACGGAACTTCCACTCTTGTTTACACCACACGTTTCTGTGTTCAACAATAAGAAATGTTTAGAAGTTTCTGTGCTTCTCCTTCTCTACGGAGAAAGATCTGTCTCTTCAAGAGCGAGCCACAATCCCTAACATGAGCAAGCTACACCACACAATGAACTGTGGGATGGATCTTCTAATGGTTCTTTATTAATAAAAAGGGAAAAAATAAGCATCAGAGCCATATGAAGTTCTCTCCTTACCTTTGAGGGGCTCATGGGGCCTGCAAAAGCTCTTATCGACAACACTGGATCTTTGGGGCTGCCAATGTATTTAGATAAAGTTCTCTGGGGGCTCTCATCCGTCTGATCAGGTGACCACGGCACGCCAATTACAGGAGCTGAGGAATTGTCTTCTGCTCTCAAGAGTGGTATATAATATCGACCTAAAATAACACAAAGCTTTCTTAAGAAGTTTACATTACATTAGCCTGCTGCTTCTTCCTAGAATAGCAATACACCCGCCGTACACTTAACCACCTCACTTTATTTCATTAGTAAAGCTACTTGTAATTCAAACTCACTGTTTCAATATTTATTGCCTGCTTACAGATTGTATTTTAGTACAGGTTCCCTTCCCTCTCAAATACAAAAATACCTGCATCGATACACATATCCCTCCCCTAAGGATCTTCAACAAATTTCAAAACCTCCTTGTGCAAATGCCTAAACCCACATGTGACAAACAGTGAAAAGTTCTATGTCAAAGAAATTACACGACTCCCCAGCATGACAAATAAGCCTCCTGCTCTGTAAACATTTTTTGTTTGCTTTTACATTAAACTTTCTGCTTCAGGCTTGCTGAATAAAATAAGGGCCATGCCTACATTAGAGCTATGAGGATAACCTTGTGATCCATACAGTAAGAGTTCTGACCACGTACTTTAAAAGCCAAAGTTTTCTGTACTTCGTCAGTTTTCGAGTTTCTCTGTGGTTTTCACAGTACTGTACAGTAGCATCATTTATGAACAGGAATGCTACAGAAAGCAAACAGAATAGGAGACAGCAAAGAGCCAAAATACATGCCTGACAGTATAAAACTCTGAATACAGACCTTTCAAGTACTCTCTTAGTTTTTCTTTCAATTCTGCAGATTTATTCTTGCTTCTTTCACAAACTACCTGTTAATATAATTTTAGTTGTTTGTTAGTAAAGTGCAAGACATCAATCTTAAATCAATTCCAATGTGTGCTCTTTTTGAACCGTCACATTATTGGCCTCTACCCATCTCATCCAGTACATTTAATTCATAGTAGAACAAACCACCGAAATACATCCACATCCATAAAATGGATACCGGAAAGAAAAGGCAGTGAATCATAAAATCTACATCTTCTCCCCAGATACAGTCAACATAAAATATTTGTAATGTTACCAAAGATTTACACTCCAATCATGACACTAGTATCTTACTACAGGCCTATCTGCAGTAGTTAGTAAATGTTGGAACTTGAAAAATACTGATTAGGCACAACATTTTGGTTTTGTTGTGGACATGGAGAGACTTACTTCTGCTGGAGTTAGATCATACTTGTTTCGTGGATTTTTTACAATAGCTGGGTGTGAGGTAAGCACATTAACAACATCCAGATTCCCAAACTTGCAGGCAAAATGCAATGGAGTATCAAATCCCTGCAGTGAGAAAAGGGGAAAATACTCATGCACTTGGAAACATGATAAAGTCAATCCCATGTATTTTGTTTTGAGACTAGGAAAAGCAAATAAATGTCATGTCTAATTATCACGGCTCTTAATAGATCTCTGGTCTCCCTATTGTAGAACAACTATTACTGAAACCCACAAACCTCATAAATACCTCATTTTGTTAGAAGTGTCCCCTTCTATTCTCTTTCCTTCTCCCTTACATGCCCTTAACACCCTCCAGTTGTTTCCATACTAATAAGAAACTGGCAAACATTCAAATCTTACCATTTTATCTGGTGTATTAAGGTAAAGGTCAACAATATATTGGATGCGATTCTTCAACATTATATCATTATCATCTGGATACATAAGCCGCATAAATTCAGGATTTTCCAAAGTGTCCAGTAATAACTGGCAGATACCAGGCTGATTTTCCTTGGCAGCAACATGCATGACATTGTACCTACACCCTTCCTGAAAAAAAGACAAACATGAGAATGAACTGAAGTCTATTTTTACGCCTGTGCGCTCAACTGATTTAACTGTGAAAATACAAAGGTTCCCACACTAAGTCTGTATTTACATATTTGTTTCTTGGTATTTTATTAGGAAAAGATGTTTACAAAACATCACATAAACATTCAGAACTGCAATATGATATTGTGAAGACTTACGCATCTTTATACTCACATTATTCTTACAATTAACAAACATTAATCTTACACTCAGCAATAGTCTTTTTTTACATCTAGGGCAAAAATGTGTATATTAAGATATCACATAATAAAATGGGATATGAAATTCAGTGTATAAAAAGAGAAAGAAAATGCGTGTGTATATATTATATATGAAATTCAGTCTGCTGTAACGTATTACATACAAAATTTCAACAGCTTCACAAAGCTGGTGTGATAGAAGACATTTGTTAAAGTAAGATTGTCCGCGGCTGCTAAATGGTACCTTATACACAGATTTTAGATGCAGCGTACGTTTTGAAATTTTGAAATTTTTGCTGCCTACGTAAGCAGCACTGCAGGAACACCTAGCTACAGCCTAGGCACTACCCCATTCTTTAAAATAATTCCATTTAAAAAAAGTTGGAATTATTTGCAGGAGATCAATAGTATACGAAGACAAGACTATTCTTTCATTACTAGCTAAAACTACTCTTCGCCTAAAGAATTGCATACTCTGTTTCTTTAGCTCTTCTGGAGCAAAGCAAACTCTTGGTTATGATGGGTGACTTACGCAACACAGGCAACTGCCATGTTTCTCTTAGCTTTCAGCTAGTATCAATAAATACCGAGAAACTTTGCCCTGGTGGAAACAAGGTATCTTGAAGGAAGAGTAGGAAACTACAGTCCTTCCAGTTCTGCTTACCAGGCCTCAAAGCTAAATCACTAAACCAGAACTTGGGATTCTACTATTTTTTTTCTTTACCTGTACAACTGTTGGATTGTCTCCTGACCCAATCAGATAGCGAGGGTTACTCCAAATAAGTTCTGAAAATGTTGCTGTATCTCCTTTCTCAACAGCTTTTCGAAGTTTAGCAGTAAGATCTTGAGTACGTGGACTTTTGTAACTGTTGGCTCTCTCCTTATTAGCAGTTTCGGCCTCAGGGGAGCATAAACCATCTATCAAAACACAAGTAACATGTTCCTAGATACTATTCTTTTCAGTGATCACTATTTTTATACCCAGACCGTGAAAATAAGCTTTCATCTAATATACATATATTAACTTTGCATCTTTAATGTACAGGAGTAAAAAAAATTTAGGTCAACAACAAGACATTTAAAAATACTAGTAGTTAGTAATAGGGAGGGAGGAAAACACGACTTAATCATCTTGTAAAACTGTTTCAGACTTTAAGAGGGACTGATAAATTTTATAATTACCAATCTGCTTCCATCCAAACTTAAAAGAAAAATTCAACAGGACATAGGAATTTTCCAAACATTAAGATTGCTTTTATAGTTCTGTGACTACTGAGTCCCTTTAATCCAGCAACTGGGAACACTGTGAAATATGATCAGTGTTCACCATTTTATTTCTGAACTTAGAAACTTACTTAAGTACAGTTTTAATACACTGTGCAATTTTCTCAGCACCTTATTAAACCAGAAAATCCTGAAGTCCAGGAGTAAAATCAAATCCTACCAAATCTAACCATAGGCTACTAAGCAACATATTGATGCAGGCCATTACCAACATTTCAGCTTTAGAAGAACAGCAACATTTTTTAGCATAAAATTCATGTGAAACAAACCAACGACAACTGCTTTTAGAAGTAATCAGTTTACTTTATCATAACACAGACCACAGAAACCATACACTGAAGGCCAAACCTTAAGCTTTCAAACACAAAAATCAGTCTTTCCATAGACTCCTGGGGCTCTAATTTACTTCTGTGGCAGTTCTTGACAAAAAAAATGAAAGGATTCCAACATACCCTACTTCTGTTTTTATTTCTGTACATAAACTTTGGTGTTCCTTCCTTGGAAAAGCATTAATTAACTTCAAGGATGACTTCTCCGGAGACAGTATCATTTTATACAGAAGTAAAAACAGATTTGAATTAAAAAATTAAAATACGTATTTTATTGCCTGTTTCTAATTTATTTCACAGAAAAAAAAGTAATTAAATACCGGTTGTCATATGTATTTATACAGCGATTTTATTTGCCGTGTAAGCTCTGGAGTTGTGATCTAACATTTGTTTACAGCTTATCTTAAACACCACGACCCTAAAGGGACTTCAATTTATTAAGACATTTCACCCTTCAAAATTTTTTCTGCTATTAGTATATCAGTTACGAAGTTGTTGCTTCTTCTCTCACAAAAAAATAACAGAATGTATATTGCATCTACTGTACACAGATGAATACCTCACCTCTGTTAAATGATCCCATTTTCACTGGAGACGAACATACAGAGGACTTGCTTGGAGATGGGAAATAATCACAGATTCCTTTAGCAAATTTCTCAGCATCCTCTCTGTTTGAAAAAGCTTTAAAACGGGAACCCTTGATCATCTTAACAGCTTGGAGAGCTTCCTTTTTATCTTCATAAACATGTATTCTCTCTGCCACAAAGTACAATAAAAGTTAAGTTTATTGAAATAATCTCAGGTTTGTTCCTGGAAACAAATTACAAAATTCCTAGACTATCCTTCCAGCTTTGGTCTCGAACTGTTTCTCTACCAAACATGGTATAAAAATCAAAAGTCCTCCTACATCTTCCCTCTCAGAAACCAAGTAGAAGAATTTTACACACTCCAGCTAACATCCAGTGCTATCTGTACAGCATTTGGCCATTCGTATCAATCACTATTTAAACATCTTTTTTTATAGATGGATCAGCTTCAACAAGTATTTCATAACCAGACTGAAAAGCAAACTCAGACCTTATTCACCCTGCATTACTGTCTATGTTCTAATGTTCACATAGATAAACTACGCAAGTAATCCACTGTCACCACTTTAAGACCTCTACACCAAACCTCAGTTATCAATCAAATCCATCTCCTTCCTCTCCCTTTGCATTAACGCAAATTTGTTCAAATTAAGATATATGAATACCTTTTTTATGAGAAAGAATACTTACTACTGTCCCAGAGTAAATGATCCTTTATATACTATTGCAATCTTGCCACTAGGTGATTTAATAATTCCTTATTGCAGTATTCATCAATAAAATATGAAAAATGACTGACACTTCCAGATACCACTTGGCATTTAGATAGAAAGGAAAATATGAAATCTGTTATAAGAGATCATTTATGCTTCAACTGATGACAGTATAAACAGTTTCTTGATTGTTTATTTGTAGAATTACTATTTTTATTCTTGAGAGGAATTAAAGGCACGGGATGAGAGTAATAGTAGCAAATAATGTTCTTCATCTGAGCTACATCTAGTCCTCACGTGTATCAACTATTATGGCAGAACAGCTGGCATGTCTTACAGCTGTGTTTCTACGCCTCAGAAAATCCACTAAATACTATTCACAGAAACCAAAAAATACTTCAAGCAATGCTTAAAATACCAATACAGTGATGGTCACATTACCTGCTATATAGAAAAAGGCCTATTTAGGCATGACTGTAAAATGCTTATCACAAAGGAAATAAGTATTTACCATTCCTTGCCAATATGTCATCATAAACTGGACAAACACCATAGTATAGTGGAGGATCTCTGGACGGTGTCTGAGTACTAATCTGTGAATCAACATATCCCGCTCCACAGACCGGAGCTGAACAGTTCATGTGCATCACAGCATCTTCTTCTGGAGGGTTCACACCTACACAGTACCCAAAGTCTGCCTCTTCAGAAACACTTCCATGACCGTTGTGATTCACCACCGCAGTTTTCAAAGCCTTTTCTGCTTCTGCCTGGTTGCTATTGGACGGGACATTTCCAGCAGCCTCCTCTGACAGAGTAGATCCTTTTTCTTCCAACGCTCCTTGCTGCTCCAGCAATGCCTGAGCCAACTTTTTTTCAAAAATAAACCTAGTAGTGGAGGTAATGGGCCCACATTTCAGTCCTGCTCTTACAATTTCTTCTCTAAGCTCATCAGGGGTGAGCTGTTTCAATCGGGATAATATTCCATCCATTGTTATTTCACCTATATTAAAAACAAAAAAGAGGCGATAAACTGAAGAACACCACAACTTTTTTTTTCACAGCTACTTAAGTGTTGTATTAAAACCAAGGAAAATAAGTGTCTCCCAACAATTTTTTGGATTCTGAAGAGATTATCAAAGTTGCAGAGAAGACAAAGTATTTTTCAACCCAACACATTAAAAACATTTTTAACCTATCACAGTTCTATAATGAGTTTATTTCCTCCTCTCACAACTACTTGAAAGAGTATTTACAGCTTACATTTTATTTTCTTTTGTCCTTTACAAATTTCATGAAGACTTCTGGAGTGAAAATTCAATCCAGAACATTTATGCATGAAAATTTACAACAGGCTGAGAAATATTTGACTCCTGACAAGAAAGCAAACACCTGCATATGCAATAGAATACAAGAATACGATGACTAGTTAGCCCCAGTAAGAGATTCAGGTTAGGCAGCACCTACAGCTAAAAGCACAGCACTATTTCTATTATTTCCATAAGAATTTCTAGCCGAAAAAAGCCACCTAAGGCATAAGCACAATGGCAGCAACCAGGGAAGTCTATCTCTGGCCATGATGCAAGGCTGGAACTATTTACACAGCATGTTGTTTCCCAGCCCCCGTTTTGAGAGCCAACAGCCAGAAGACAGAACAGCTGGCCTTTTCAGATTTCCCTCTCCAACAAGGAGCAGGAGCTAGAAGACTCTCCATTTCCAACGGAAAATCCTTCTCTGGGATGATACGGAAGTCCCCCAGCTCACTTCCCTCCAGGTAATCCACACACTTACAGCTTCTGCATGGTCAGCAAGAAGATACTGAAATCAACACGATGGCAACACAAATTTCTTGTGATGAAAAACACAGGATTTAGGCAGCTCAAGAACATAAGAAGCTTTAAAATTATTTCATCAGATACTGTGTCCATGTATTGCCACAAAGTCTGTGACTTCTTCCTGCTGTGCACCAGTTAGGACGGACAGCTTTTGGACAGAAACGATTAGGCTGTCGTATTCCTTCCGCTTCCTTTCATTCCGTCCTTACATTGACTGTTCCTTCACCGGCCAGCCACTTTATGGGTTATACTGGTTTGGATAGGTACATACAGCATTTTAGTACTTTATTTTCAATTCCAGGTTTCATCCTCAGCTTATGGAACTTAAGACTACTTAAGACTACTTTTGCAGCTTTTCCACATGAATTGATTTCTATTTTTTCAGTTAGGCTATTTTTTGGAATAACACAACTCCTAGTGTTACTCCATTGGAGACAAAGCAATCTCCCAGGTATGAAGTCAGTATCACCTGTAATTTTCAGTTATATCTCCTCAAAAGAGCATTTGTGGACGCACGTGGCAGCATGAGAAATGTTCACAATTTATGAGCTCTCCTACTTTATGAACAGGGTGCGCAAGCAGTCCTTAATGCAAGTCAGAACATCCACTCTGATGGGCAAGAGCCTTTGGCTGGGAAACTAATGTGAGATTTGAACCGTGAATGGCTGCACCCTAACAGCAGGGATGCAGTGCTCTAAATACGGGATCCTAATAAGTTAATTATTCACTTTGTCAGAGTGTACAAGCTCAGAATACAACCAAAACTGCAACTTCATCACAGAGTTGCAGTATAGTCAAACTCCCTCATTTTTCCACATGTATTGCCAATAGTGACATAACAAAATACACAAACAAAATAAGACATGACAATTTTGCTTTTTAAATTACCCAGGATTAAGCTGGCAAAGAACCACACTTACCATATTAAAAAAAAAAAAAAGCAGTTTTCATAACTTTTAGCAACAGTCAGTATAGACAAGTAAAATTTTCACTGGAATCCGACTTCAAAACTATTACACTTCTAATAGTAGGAAATACTATGGAAAAAGATGTTAATGTCAAATCTTAAGTAGGTTTTCAAATATTATTACAACTTGATAGTCACAAGTTTGGTGGTTGTATTCTTTGAGGGCCACTTCCTTTGAGAGCTGTTTCTTTTTTTTGAATGTCAGATTTTAAACATCTTGTGGTTAGAGAACATACCTCAGTCCCAGAATATTTCACGAATACTAACTAGAACCTCACTGAAAGGATGGGAAATTAGAGTATGTCAGCTTAAAAAAACAATCACAAATTGTGGCAAAGCCGCAGTTGATGCTGCTCAGCCACCATCCCCAAAGCATTCTAGTTCCCTTATGATCCCTGCACCTCCAAGCAACCTCATTGTTACAATTATCTGACTTACCCAGAAGACTCCAAAGACAGATGTGAAAGATCTTCTCACATATTTTGACTCTTTATCACCTACTTTTTACTAAATTTGATGCCATTATGTCTTAATCAAGAGAAAAAACATGGCCCTGACGTCAATTATAAGAATATCAAACCTTGCTATTCTCAGGATTTTCTTTGTTAGATTGTATAACTGCAAACACGCAATATAGATGAAAACTCAGAAGCAAGAGAGTTTATTGAAGAAAAAACCTAATGAAAACACTTTAGAGTCAACATAATATGACGCCTTAAAGAATGAACTGAGGAAATGCTCCTATTTTTAGGTTCAGAACCAACATAATTATTCTGCAGAAGAGCCGACCCTTACACATGTGTAATTCATGTACGCGGAATATCCAGACACACGCAAATATCTTCTTGGCTTGTGGTTAAGTAAAAAATGTTGGGACAGAGTGATTTCTCTGGTATCTCATGTCTTGACAGAACCTGGCGCCTAAAATTTCATTCTTCAACTATGTAAGAAAAAGTATTTCTTTCATCTGTCCAGACAACTCAGGCACAACTGAATCAGAAAGCGAAATGACAGAGCAGACCAACAGTGAAGGCATTAATCTCTAGTTTAAGATCTACTGCTAGCATAAAGAGTTTTCTACGATAAGCTTGCTATGGAAACAAGAAAAACATCGTTGGAATGACAACAAAGAATTTTCATGAAGTATGTTTGTGTTCTTTCGGCTAACGTGGATAAGCATTTATTAATTTTTAACTGCATCACCTTTTTGATCTGTCCAAAACAAAAGGTGTGACTTGCAAACATAAGAAATAGCAACTGCCGGTTTGAAGATAATCCTTCAATCACTTGCTAGAAGCAGGTGCAAAAGGTGATTATCTGAACCTTAAAATGCATTTTATGTAACTTCAAATGATCCAGAGCACAGCCAGCACTGATGCAGCTACCTTTTCTAGTTTGACACACATGGTCTTCCAACTTACCTTTAGCAGCTTTACAAATAAGAATAACTGCTTTAACAACCACAGCATGTTTGAGGCTTCTTCCAAATCAATCAAAATCTGGAAGAATGAGTAAGAGCTGTATTTCTCCATGTCTTACTGCATCAGTATGAAACAGCAGAATCTGTTTCAAAACAATTAAGACCAACACCAAGAGAGAATGAATTATTATCTTTGAAGGATGGTGATATTATTTTATTCCACTAGTCATTGAATACTTCAGTAAAGGAGCCATGTAAGAAAAAGCAGGTTTTTTCCTTTTCTAGGCAGGAATTAAATGAAAGACGTATCCTGTCTCTGGCTGTATTTCGGCTGCTAGGATTCGCACACGGCAGAACGACCGTGGCTCTGCAACCGGGTATTCCATCCATACCGCCTGTTGCCAAATGACCCAACAGTTACCAACTATCCGGCAGAAAGGGAACCGCAAACCGAACTTGGAATAAGCTAAGGGAAAACCGGGATTGAAAGCAAGGGAGGGCGAGAGGGAAGTACCTCTGAGGAACGAACGCGTATTTCTGGAGCTCCCAAGGGAGAGCGCGAGCGCGGGGACGCGTGCGGCGGGCGGCAGCCGGCC